ACGGACGACGTGTCCACAGGGGGCTGGTTCACATGACTTATTCACCGAGGAGTCCGAGACATTTGTGGCGGCCGAAGGTTACGACGGACCGCCCGTTTTTGACGAGGAGCCAGATGTAGTCGAGGAGCATCTTACCGGCGACGTCGGGAGGGCCCTTGTTCTTCGTCGGTCATGTTTGGCACCTCGGGCTTCGATCGACGAGTCGGTGCGGCGGTACCAAATTTCTGAGTCTCCTTGCATCGTGGGCTTGCATGCTTTCTTTACTGAGAAGACCTGTGAACTTGACGTGCCCGGGTTATACGATGGACCCCCAGTTTTCGATGAGGAACCGGAGGAGGTTGTGGCGAACCCTGCCGGTGACGTCGAGATGGCTCTTGTTCCTCGCCGTTTCTGTTTGACGCCCCTGGCTTCGACTTTGGATTATGATTTGTTTGTGACAGACAGTCTAGTTGATCTTTATTGCAAGTGTGGGGACATTGACTCTACTGTTATGGCATTCAGGGTAAGTCCTTACAGAAACATAGTATATTGGATTTCTCTGCTATCTAGATTTGTTCATAATGGGAAGCATGCAGAAGCATTGGCATTGTTTTCTTTCATTGTTGATATTGTTGAGGTCACTTTAGCGAACCTGCTTGCCACGTGCAAGGTCTCGGGAAATCTACATCAACGTACATCGATTCACGCTAGAGTAATTCATGGATATTCACAGTCGAATAATTTGGCCGTGAATTCATTGTTTGATGCATACTTCACGTGCCATGCGGAAACTACACTTGCTTTTGTGGAAGAGAACAATATCTCTAATCTGGCAAAAACTTTACCCGGGGATATTGGTCAATGGCAGCCTGGTGGGAGCTTGAAGATTGTTGATCGCAACAAGAATATTTTTCAACACTCACAAGTAGAATATGTTGCAATGGATAATTTCGAGGATGTCTATGGTCTGGTTTCTGATATTGTCTCGATATGGGTTTATAGGAACAGTTTTGAGGTCTTTCTTGTTGTTATTAATCCACCCAAACATGCAGTGGAGCAACGGGCAGCACAAACTTTTTTTGTTGCCAATATTAATCCCAACACGCAAGAAGTGGAACAATGGGCAACACAAATTAGTGTGACTGGGGACTTCAATGCCCTCTGTGAAATTGCCAATGTGAGAAAATATTTTATTGAGCGCACAAGGATTGCAAAAGACAAGAAGTTGAAAGGTTTTGATTTTATTAAAGTTGTACACGTGGAGACGAGACCATTTCGAATTCGCGGCCGAATTCTTCTCAACCGGGGGGATGATGAAGACGAGATTGACGAGCTATTCTTGGAAAAATATGATCGTCTGCCAACTTAGCATAATTATTTATTTCATTTGCTATGTTTATTATTCCTCTTATTTAGTTAAGGAGGGTAGTTATTTTTAATTGGTAATTGCTTGTTAAGTAAGTTAGGTCTTTAGGGTGTGTGGGACTCTATTTATTGTTGATCGCTTCTCTTAGAAGATCGGTTGTTGATCAAAGAATACAGAAAATTTGAGATTTCATTCTCTACTTCCCTTTCGTCTACCACGCTCTACATCAGTTGGTATCAGAGCCAGCCCATGTGCCAGCGGTGACCGCTGGGCCCACAAGGGGGGTGGATGATGCAGCGCATCCCATATCGGGTTTAAAAGGAAACGAAGCAGGCCTTATATGGGGGTGTGGATACCTTCACTAGTAAGACGCGTTTTGGTGGGTGTGTATTGAAGCCCAGCCAAGAACAAAGCCGTGCGGGTGGCGGAAGTAGCCCAAAGCGGACAATATCTTACTAGGGTCTGCATCAAACTTTCTTATTTTTCTTTGGAATTATTTTTCAGGAAAAATTGAAAAATCCCGCATGTGGCTAATATATTTAACTTTAAAATTACATAAATTAAATCAATCTTACGTAATGAAATCTCTTTGTTCTGGTTGTTAATGAGATATATTTACTTCCTAATTAAATCAATCACACACAATTTCTCCGGTTGCACGTTCTTATGCTAGACTTTATTTCCAGACGAGATTGATTAGTTAGGGACGAAATTTTTGGCAAGGAAGTTGCATTTTTTTTTATTATTATTTATTTTGTCCAGAGAATTTACGCACGTGTGACATGTGACAGGTGAAAAATCCTCGACTGATAGGAAAGTCAGTTGCAATATGGGCTGTATTGTCAATTTTTATATCTTTCTTGGATTGTTATTAATTCCCACAATAGCTGAATTATTTATTTTATTATTTGTTGCTACTAATTATTTAATGTGCATCATATTTATTTATGCAATTTGCATATTATTTATCTGTGCATATATTTATTTAATGAATGTCGTGTCTGATATGAATAATAATTAGTTGCTTATTTTTCATAGGAATTAATTATGTCAATTAATTAGTTATTTTATTTGCATACTAATTAATTATAAAAAATGCATATTAGGAAATCAATGAGATGTTTAAGTATAAATAATTATATTTAAATAAAATTATAAAAAAAAATAATAAGTCTGTTCGTGCGTCGCACGGGATACACACTAGTCAAACTCATAAGTTCCTTATTATCAACAACATAAAATAATTAAGTTATCACCTTATTTGAAAAAAA